CCCCCCCGGGCTGGAGTCCCCGCCCCCATCTGAGATCAAGTATGTCTGGTATTTTTTCTGAAGCCACCTGGTAATCAGGGCCTGTGTACATAAATGGATCCCAAGATCCGAAGGAACTGCTGGGGTCACCTAGTTTGACCTCCTGTGCAATTCAGGGAAGCCCTAGGGCCTATGTTAATGCCTGGCCGAACTAGAGCAGATTTTCTAGATCAGCAGTTCCCAACTTTTTCCAGCTGGGGACCCATTTTGACAATTCAGGAAGACTTGGTGACCCAGGGCAATTCAAAAATGGGGGGAAGTGAAGGAGGACAGAGCCACCCGGGGAGACACTTGGAGACCCTTTTGAAATGTAATGGTGACCCATATTTGGGTCCCGACCCATAGGTTGGGAAACCCTGCTCTAGATGGACACAGCTGGCCAGTCCTGATTTAAAACTGGCCACCGATGGGGAATCCACGGCAGTCTTTGGTCTGTTGTTCCAATGGTTAATTCCCCAATTTGCTCCTTATTTCTAGTCTGAATTTGCCCAACCTCCATTTCTAGCCCTTGCATCTTGTTAGACCTTTACTTGATTGAAGAGACCCTCAGCAAATATTTGCTCTTCCCAGAGTGCTGAACTGGGGGTGCTGCTGCACCTCCTGGTGAGAGGTGGTTTCCATCACATTCAGGGATTGCACTTTGGTTCAGTGTCTCTCTGGACCCTCACTATACAGTGTCATCCTGGCTCCCCCTGTAGGCACTTAGGGTATGTCTAGACTGCCTCTGTCACCAGAGGCATGTAAATTAGACTACCCAACATAGTCAATGAAGCCGGGATTTAAATATCCCCGGCTTCATTAAAATAAAAATGGCCAACAGGCCTAGAACCTACTGCGTTGTGCCATTTACCCTTGTAGAATATTGGCCCAGTCTTCTACCCCTGACTCCGGGAGAGCGGTGGGTGCAGTGGGTTAGAGCAGGCAGGGCTCCTTGCTCTCACATGAGCTATTAATTCCTTGCCCTGAGAAAGGAGGAGTGGGGTGAAAACCAAGTGTGGCTCACACGGCAATGGAGAGGAGAAGGGATCTGCCCTCTCCCTTGCAGTGGCTTGGGATGGAGCGGCCAGGGCTTAAGACAAAGGGGGGCAAGAATACAGGCAGCAAATAACACTGCTTCCCCTCTCCCCCTCCCCCAGATAATTCCCCAAGAACTGATGTTGGGCTCTACCTTCCTCCCCTCCCCCTGTCCTTGTCCCCCATTTGACTATGGAGCAGGAACACCAGGTCAGAGGTAAGATACACACAGCCTCAGAGCCTGTGTCATGCAGCAGCCTCCATAGCCCTGGCTCATTTGGGGCTCCTAGTAGCCATCTGATTGCTCCTGAAAACAGTGAGACTGTCCCTGCTCCCAGGTGTGAACATTCAAAGGGTGGGACGTGGGAGGGAAACCTGAGGCCCAGGGTCACAGCTGGGAATAGAACGAGGTGTCCTTAGTCCCAATGCCAGATCAGCTGGTCCCACAAAACAGCCTCGCTGAGCGCAAGGGAGAGGGGAGGAGTTTCACATGCAGAGACACAGCTTCCAGGAGCAGCACTTCCCCCTCCACCTGCTGTGCGAATTGAGTCACTGGGGCCCACCTGTCTCATGCCCTCCCCTGAGCCCCCATTACATCACAGCCTCAGTTAGCCAGGCCAGAATTCACAGAGGGAAAGCTAGGACCAGACTCCAGCGCTCCCTCCACTCCCAGAGCTGGGCTAGAACCCAGGCATCCTAGTACCCAGCCTTCTCTGCAAGGGCTAACCTGCACTGGCAGGTATTTAAGCAGAGCTGAAGTTTATCAGACCAGAGGGGGCAGCAATGCCTGACCCATCAGGGGTATGAGCCAGAGTTAAAGGGATCCAGGACCAGCCAATCAATGAGTTAGGAGGAATCTGTCCAAGGAGAAGTGAACAATAGAGAGAGTAATGGACAGAGCTGAGAACCAGGACTCCTGTGGTCTATTGCCAGCCCTCCTAGGAAGGGTCAGTTTCCTTCCCCTCACTGGTCCTACATTTTCCCTCTGTTGTACAACACAGATTCATTAACCCTGAGGTCAGGACCAGGCAAGGGGAGCGTCTAACTGAAGTCAGGCCCCTTTGGATTAGTTAGTGACCCAGACAGACGCCAGGTTCTGCCAGGAATCAGCAGGTTGGAATCCACACACAGCTGCTCATACAGTATCCGGGTATTAATTACTGGCTAATTACAGACTCCAGAGCCAGGCACTCCCAGGCAGGGTGCTAACACACACTCCCTGCATGCTGCAGGGTGGGTCATGAGCCAGGTACTCGGTGTCCCGTTGACTTCACTGGGGGGTCCTTACTCATCAGTCCTGATTTCCCTCCCGCCATCAGATTTACAGGTCCCCTCTCACTGAGCATCTTCAGCAGCCCCCAGGGCTTCTAGCCCCAGCTCTGGAAGAGAAGTCAGGTCTAGTGGTTTGAACCCCTTCCTATTGTGCATGGGGGGCAAAAGTGGGGCAAAAGTCAGTCTTCTCTTCCCCCATTGGAGGAAATGGGGGACACATGGTTGAAGGGAGCTCTCCTGCCACCAATCTGCAGAGGAACCCAACACCAAAGGGGTGCTCAGATGGCACTAGCAGGGGAAGGATCTGATCTGGACCCAACCAGAAACAAGTGGCATCCCAGTTTGCAGTCAAGCACTTAAGGCGCTGGATTGTGTTCTATTCCCAGCTCAGATCTGTGGCAACTCCCTTCATCTGCCCTGGGCCTCATTCTCTTGTCTGTAAAATGGGGATTAGTCCAACAGCCAGAGATTTAAAGGGAGCTTTAGACCACCTAGTGACGCCATTTCCTCTGCATTGAGCTCAGTCACTCCTGTTTGACCAAAGTTCCCCAAAGCAGCCAGCTTCTCCAAGGGAGAAGAGGCCACTACTGGCCTTGGCTGTTTGTGCCAATGCTATTCACTTACCAGATCCCCCTTATCAACACCCACACTGGGGCCTCCATTCTCACTTGAACATGTTTGACTTTTACCATTCATTGGTTCTGCCTCTCTCTCCGCTAGATTCAAGGCCTGTTTGCTCTTTTAGACTCTCATCAGGTTACCTATCAACTTTATTTTTGAGCAGTTTAACCAGCTCACCTTCCAGCCAGAGCCCTGTGCTCATGTGCTCCAGCCTTGGAGCTCAATGCTGGAGGAGCTCGTCCCCCTCTACAAAGCACAGCCCAGGAGGCTGGGGGATGCAGTGCTGGGGCACGTGAGGTGAAGAGTAGGTCCAATCTGGGATTTCTTTGCTTGCATGGGGTTCTTTCTTTAAAGAGAGATTCAATTAAACTTTGACAGGAGGATGGGAATTCTAAGGCCCCCTCCTGCCAGGCTGGCCTTAGGGCTGGCCATGCCCAGGGCACTATAGCCAGAGCGTGAGGAGCAACTGGGCATGGGCAGTGGAGGGTACTGAGCAGGGGAGCAGCGTGGCAGGGCATGCCTGAAGTGCAGGGCTGGGGTTGGGATGAAGGGGTCATTGTGCAGAGATTTAGGGGCAAAGGGGGCGCAATGCAGGGTTAGTGGTAAAGGGTGCACAGGAGGATGGCGCAGGGGTTGAGAAGCCCATGGGTGCTGGGGAAATGGGTGGTGCTATGCTCAGAAGGGTCAGGGGCATCAAACCACAAATTTGCCTAGGGTGCCATATTCCCTAGGGCAGGTCTTGCCCTGGTTTCCACAGTCTCTCTCACTGAAGCATTCAGATCCAGCACTTTAAGATCAAAGATATTTCACTAGCCTCCAGGAAAACAAAACACTCTCCCAGTACCTGTCTAGCCCTCCCATCACTGTGGTACCTGCAGGCCTCACTGTCTAGAGGTCCCCCCCACACACACACACACACCCTTAATGGCTATCACCACCAGTTCACAATGGGGAAACTGAGGCACAGAGACTTTACATGATAGACTGGTGGGAGAGTAAAGACCTGAACCCAGGTCTATGCAAGGACCTAACCACAACCCCAGCCTTGCTGCTGAAGTGGGCTGGAACAGCACTAGCTGGACCAACACCCTTAGAAGGAATTCCTAACTGATTGAGCTGAGCGACCTCGGGTGCCCTGACTTGTAACCTTATTCCCAGCTCTGGGGAGGAAGTGGGGCTGGGAGTCAGGACCCCTGGCTTTTATCCTCAGCTCAAAAAGGGGAGTGGGGCCTAGTGGTTAGATGGAGTCGGGACTGAGGGCTCCTTGTGACAGTCTAATGGAGCCAGCATCCCCACACACCTCCCAGGCCTTCCCCTAAGGAACAGGCCCGCCCACGAGGGAGTTTAAACATTAAACGCTACTCCCGAGCATGGACGCTAGAGTTCCGCACCATTGCGCTTCCCCCTCCCCCCGCCTGAGCAGCCCCCCGGGGCTCCAGCGGCTCAGGGGCAAGGCACAATGATCAAGGAGCTAGACGGGAGCCTGGCGTGCCAAAGATTCCCCTTGGAAGAGCTGAGCCAAAACAAAGGCTACCTGGAAACCCTGATGGGTCCCCTTTCCGGATCCGGCCCTAGGCTGACACACAGGCTGCCCTCGGCAGATCAGTTAAGGAAATGAGCCGGGTCCGAAGGTCACCCTCCTGGAGCCGAGAATCCGTTGTAGACCCTTCCTGGAAGCTGTGAATCCTCAGTGAGCCAGGCTGGACAGAGGGGAGCACGGAACCGTTGGCCCCACATTCCAGCTGTCTGTCGGGCTCCCCTTCCACCAGGAGAAGCCGTTTCCCCAGCGTTACTGTCCCCCAGTCTGGGCTGAGTTTTGAACAGGGGACGCGCCAGCAACAAACGTCATTCAGAAAGCATGAATGGCGCTATTTCAAGGAATAGTTGCCTAGAATTTGAAGGACCCGGTTTAATCCTCTTTCTGCCAAAGACACACCGCGTGGGACCTTGGCAAGTCACTTAACCTCTCTGTGCTTCAGTTTCCCTATGTGAGCAATGGGAAGGAGAGCACCAGGATTGTGAGGTGCTCAGATACTGGGTGATGGGGACCAGATAAACATCTGCACAGAAATAGCACCCTCCCTTCAATCAGACTCACCTGGTACATAGATCTCTCCTCTCTCTTCATCAGGCAATTCACTCCAATTCCTCTTGCCCACAGCCACACAGGATTTTTTCACTAAGAAAGCCCGAGGCATCTTTGAGATCAATGAATTGTCTGGGATTCATAAACAGATCAATAACGAAATACACTTCTCCCTCTTAGCGTAAAATCAGGGGGAAACTTTCACCCAACTTGGGAAGAATCTTTTCCTTTCAAATAAAATTAAAACAAATCAGCAGCCGAGGAATTTCCAGGGAGTATATAAATTTGCAAGGAAACCGGGGAACAAAGTTTCCTCAACGTTCTGAGGAGGGAACGTTGCAACAAGTCAGGACCGCAGCGTTCTACAGATGGATCATTGGGTTCTGGGCAATTTCAGGCAGCGCCTTTCCTTCGCGCGCAGGCTGCGCTCTGGTCAGTTTCAGCCTCCCAGCAGGTACAGTCGCTGAAGGGAGGGAGTGTCGGAGCTGGCTACGGAGCAGGCAGCCCCCCGGTGTTCGATAGCTGCTTCCCTGCCGGGATAACCGGGATTCTTGCGGGCTCGGATCCGGAGGGACAGGTCGGATCGGGAAGGGAAAAGAACTGTACCTGCGCGCTGCGCTGAGCTCATTAGGGAGTTTGTTTTTTAAGGAAGGGGTGGGGATGGCGCATGCGTTTGGAAATAACGGTGTCACCCACCTGTGCGCTACCTGCCCAACCGGTTCCCTGCCAGGAGGAGACTGTGACACGCAGAACCCACAGCTGGGGCGGGGACGCCCCCCTTTGTTTTCTTGATCCTTCAGAGTTTCCGAAGAGAGAGCCGCTTGGGGAGGGGGTTGGGCAGGGGCGTGAGGCACAGACTCTTGGAGGGAAACTTCCCAAAGCTCGGCGGGAGTGAGAGCAAATAGCGGGGGGGGCAGCGAAGACGCTGAGCTTACAAGTGCCGATCAGTCCAAGCCAGGGTGGCCCGAAGAGCTGGATCCGGATCCTTACATTTAACACTGGGAAAGGTGTTTTCTTGGTTCAAGGTGAAAGTCCCTGATTAACCATCAAGACTTGGCACACTCCTGTAACTCCCCCCCTCCCTCACGAACACACTGATCTACCCCAGTGTATCACCCCTGAATGCGCACAACTCTGGACTGCTGTGGACATCGACGTACATCGCAGGGGCGATGGTGGTAAAAGTGAGGGTGGAAAGTAAGACACCAGAATTCATAGTGGGTTGCACTAGTGTAATGCAGACTCTAGTGTGCATGTATCAAGGTGATTTGCACAAGCGTGGTTGGTGCAAAAACGACCAGCGCTGGGCATGACAGCAGGGACCCACAGCCCCACTCCCAGGTTTTCCATTAACTACCAAGCCCAGCTCTCGCTGGTCTCAAGGACCCCCCACTCTGGCTAGCACTAGATTCTGCAATGCATAGGAGGGGAGCCTGGATTAATTACTACTGGACTAGGGACGCCGTGCACCTGATTACTAACAGTGCCCAGCTCCCGTAACCCGCTCAGCTCCCCTCTCATTTAGGCACAGAAAGAAGAAGCTCAGATCTTTCCACAGATTTTTGCACTGATTTCTTATGACAACCTCCCCTCAAATGAGACCTCACTGGTGGGTCGGAATGGAATCCCTGGACAAAAGCCTCCCCACCAATGGTGCCGCTCTGAAGCCCTGGTAATCAGACCCAAGGTGTCTCAGGATGGGCTATTGCAAGAGCCCCAGGGGCAGGGGTGGGAAAGAGAAGCTGTGCTGTTTACTCCAGGCAGGCGTCTGCTCCTGTTCAAGGGACAAGTCAGTGGGGCGGTGCAGGTTGCCTTAGAGGGGAATGTCACATGGTGCGCGTTCACTGGATGGATGTTAGCCAGGCTGCACTTAGCCAGGCTGGAAAAGCAACTTGGGAGGACTCTTAGAATGATTGAATTACAGGATTGGAAGGGACCTAGAGAGGTCATCTAGGCCAGTATTTCTCAACCTTTTTTTTTTATAAAGTACCCCCTTAAAACAGTATAAGTACCTCCAGTACCTCCAGTTTTCAGGCACACAATTTTTTTTTCTACCATTGTAACACATTTATTTAAACAACTTTATCATAGCCGGGTGGGTGATGAAATGTTTGGGTGGAAAAAGTATAAAAATTATAAAACACTGAAAAAAATTTCAGTTTTCTCCAAATTTCAGTTGTGTTGATGTACCCCCCAGACATCTCTCGAGTACTCCTAAAGGTACTTGTACCAATGATTGAGAAACATTGATCTAGGGGTAGGCCAGGCCCCTGCACTCATGGCAGGGCTCCCCACTGAGACACAGGCATGGGGAGGGCATCTGGAAAGGTCAAGGGAGCAAATGTTAATGCCTGCATACAACCCCTCCCTACCCCCAGCAGGTCTGCCCCTTCCACACGGAAATAGAAGCACACATCCCTCAGAACATCTCATCTCCTAGCCCCATATATTCCCCACAAATCCCCCCTCCAACACAGTCAAGGCTTTGGAGATCTGTATGCTCTGGGCTGTAGGAGGGAAGTGATCTATGGTGGCTTAGAACAGAGGGTTGGGACTGGGACTCGGGGGCCCTGGGTTCTTTCATCAAGCCTGGGAGGGGAGTGGGGTTGAATAGCGGGGCTGTGATTCAGGACCCCTGGATTCTATTTCTTGCCCTGGAAAGTACAGGGGCTAACTGGGCTAGAACAGGAGCACTGGGAGAAGCAGGAGAGTAGTGAAGAAGTTTAGCCATGGCCCACCCAACACAGCACCTTATTCCATATAGCTCCTTCCAGCTCTGTCTCCATGGCCACTGCTCCCCCCCCCCCCCCCCACACACACACCCATCCAACACTGAGTGGCTGCTTCGTGCAGCCCAGAAGCTCCCAGCCTGGGAGGGGAAAGGAACTGTTTGTGATTCACCCGCTGCTCAGGAGAACCGGAGCGTCGGGCGGATGCTGGAAGCCAACGCCTGGCGGGTGAGAGGGGAGTGGGGCTGAAAGCTGCGGGCCCCGCTAGGCCCAGCTCCAAAGAATCTTAATTGCAGCCAGCTTGGCACCTGTCAGCCGAGATGCTGCTCCTGGCACACACAGCACATTCCTGGGGCCCAGAGTCCCGCAAGCCAGGCCCTGACACACTTAAGCCTGGGAGCGGAACACAGGGACTTCTTCAACAGCTGCTGGCTCAAATCCAGGCCCAGGAGGAGGGGATTGGCTGGCTCAGAGGGGTGGGGGATGGGACACAACCTCTTTCTTTCCAACATGAGGATAGATGGGAACTGTTGCCTTCTAGAGGGGAAAGACCCCATTCCTGCCTCCTCTTCCTCCCAACCTGGATTGGAGCAACAGATCCAGGATATATGGCCCTTATCTGGGCGGGGAAGGTGTGGACCTATTCATTATCTGTCCAGCCCTGCTCACCACTAGTCCCAAGGAAAAGTGTGACGCCTGAAACATATAATTATCCTGCCTATGTTTCCTCTCGTGGACCTGTTTCATGGCACGCCAAAGAAAGGCAGAGCTCAACCCACCCCCAGCTGCAATGCGGCCAACCCTGGGGTGGAACATGCTGGGGTGGTAGAGGAGTGTAACAGTGCACAGCAACGCTACTGAGCGTGGGTGGCAGGGAAAAGGGAGTGGAGATAGTCCAGGTTCAGCCTGAAACTGGGGTGCAGAGAGACAGAACCAAGTTAACAGAGCTGGGATTTGACCAGGACCTCAGAGTGCACACCCTAGCATGTAGGGAGAGTGCCAGGTGGTTTAACAATCTAACAACCATCAGTGGGCAGGGTGACAGGGTTACATCTCCCTCAAAGCAGCGAATTGGAACAGCACAGCACCCTCGGAAGTGGCACGCGCCCCACTCCTGAGCTCCTTGCTCTGCCCCCTGCATCCCAGCGGTGCTGCATTGGGGTCAGCACTGGCTGTGAGAGGAAGGCACCCTCTACTGAGCTCTCCACCACAGTAACTGGCGCTCCGCACTGTAATGGATTAGCGGTGAATGTGAGGGGAGAGCACCCACTACCCACTCCCTGCAGCTCCTTAGTGGTCTGCCCCCCACTCCAACTGATAGTGCTGCTGCTTAGCACGCCATCGCCTCCCACCCCAGCATAGGCAGGGCCCCTGCTGCCTCCTGAGCCTCAGCCCACAGGCAAAGCGGATGTCAGCATGTCTGGGATGTGGGAAACACCCAAGGCTGGGCAGGTGGTGCCAGCCCAACGGGTTCAACTAAATACCGGGGTGAATAACCTCAGGGAGGAGAAGACAACTAACAGGAATTCTGGGAGGGCAGTGTAACTAGTGGTTAGGGTGACAAGGGGAGTGAAGCCTCCTGGGGTTTAGCCCTGCTTCTGGTGGGAAATGGGGGTCAGAACAAAGGGGGGGGCTCTGAGGCAGAACCCCAGAACCTCTCTGTGCATTAGTCTCCCACACGCCATTGGAAGAGTCTCCTGGCTGGACACTTTCCCTGGCAAACGTGGGCACCAGCAGGTAGACAAGCTGTGAGGCTGATGATGAGCTGGGATGGGCACATTGGCTCGCCCAGGCTCATGGGTCTGGCAGCTTGCACTGTAGAACTGCCTGGGTCTAGAACATGTCTTCAAAGAAGTTGGCTAATTAACCCACAGGTGAAGCAGCATCAGCACTGCTCACACAGGGAAACTGAGGCACCTCTACTTCCTCTAAGCCAGTGCATGAATCAGGGCAGCATTGGAATTACAACCCAAATTTCACTCCCAGCCCTCTCAGTCACTAGGCTCTCTTCCCCTCCTACTGCTACAAATAGAGCCCAGGTGTCCTGGCTCCCAGCCAAGCTCTCTGGGTTGGGGTGCTCCCAAAATCCAGCTAGAGTTTCGGCCGCGCTAGTTCCTGGTGTTGGGACGCCTCCCAACCTCAGCCTCAGGGGGCAATGAGTCTCGTGTCAGGGATGGGGCCGACGCTGGGGAACCAGTCTGGATGTGGATGGGAGAGGTGCGGTTGGAGCCTTGGGTGAGGGGGAGGGAGAATTGTCCCCAGCTCTACCACTGACTCATTGTGTGAGCCTTTCCGCTCCTTGCCTCAATTTCCCCAACTCCTCATGAGCACGGCGTCTGTGAGAGGCTGCCCAGAGACACTGAATCACTCCAGCTGGATCCATGTTTAATATACACAACTAATACTTTTCATCCCCTGCCTGGTGCTGAGATGCAGCCACCTTGGGGCTGTTAACAATTCACAGCAACAGCATGTAACAGTTTTGGACAGGAAGTTAAAAAAGTTGCATCTGATTGAAACTGCAGTGTTTACTGAGACAGAATATAAACAGCAGAGGTGGGATTTGTCTGGGCATTGGGAAGAAGTGCCCTGCTCTAACCACTAGCTCCCACTCCCTTCTCAGACCCACAAACAGAACCCAGTATTCTTGACTCCATCCCACTTCCCTCGGAGCCTGGTTGCTGCTCCTGATGCTGGGATCCTCCCTTCTCGCCCCCGCGCCTGGCTAGGGGAGCAGGAATCTCCATGTGGGGGCCTCTCCCTGTGCCCCAGGCAGGCCCTGTTGCTGCTGCAATACAGTTAGTTTCACCACACGCCCACACGCCAACCTATTCCAGGCTCCATGTGCAAGTAACTCCCTCTCCTCATCCAATGCTGGGGTATCTGGGCTTGACCAAGGTTCCTTGATCAATGCCAGTGCCTGAGCCCCAGGCCTAGAGGGTACCTCCAACCCAGCACTGCCATGGCTGTTGGCTGAGGGGGAGGCAGAGGGCAGGAGTTGTATCGGGGCAAGTGGGTGAAACAGTGAGGGGGATGGAGGAGTAGGAAGAGCAGGGGATACACAGGTTGCCTTGTCCTCCTTTCTCCCCTCTGTCCAACCCATGTGATGCACTAGGCTCAGTGGGCACAAACTACCTTTGTGTGTCTTCTTCTCTGGCCCCATAGAACTATGTATAGGGTGCGGGACCCCAGGAAGAGCAGGGGACTGCAGGCCAGGATTCTGGATCCTTGGCAGAGCTGGGGGAATCCAGGGCTAAGGTAACAAGAGATTGAGGGGTATCAGCAGAGATTAGGGGGTCAGACTGGGATAGCAGAGTAGGAGGCACTTCTCAGCCCCTAGGTACCTGCTACCTGTTAGCCAAGATCTCTGCTGCAGCTCAGATGGGGGTGGTTTCATGAGACTGTTACTCAGAGGTTACACAACGAAACTGAAGCAAGTCCGCACCTGCTTCTGCCCCCTCATCCCAGACCCTTGGGGCAACAGAGCCAGGGCTCAGCCAGCACCTCCTCCGTTAGGTGCTCTGGGGACACAGCCCTGCCACTCCTCCCTGCTCTATCCCATAGGCCAGCCCTGCCTGTCACCCTCAATCCCAATTTCCTGTTATTCCAGCTCTGGACTTCCCACAGCTCTGCCAGTGCCCCTCAGCTTGGATTTGCAGCCCTCATATCCCTCCACTCAGCGCCCCATAACTGAGGAGGACCCTGTGCTGTGGGTGTGATGTGGGTGACAGTCCTGAGGGTCAGGGATCCTTGGCTGGATGGGCCCATTGTTCGGGGGCGGGGGGAGCGGAGCAGGCAGTGACAGAGGGGAAGCTCCGACTGGGGGATGGGTAATGTTGGGAAGCGATGGGAATAGCCCGGAGGAGTGATGCGGGGAGGGGCATGTCCGGGGGGAGGGGCCGGGCGTGACGCGGGGAGGATTCCCGGGGGGAGGGGCCAGGCAATGACGCGCGAGGGGTAGACCCGGGGGGAGGAGCCGGGCGCTGACGCGGGGAGAGGGATACCCGGGGGAGGAGCCGGGTAGTGACGCGGGGACAGACGGGAACACCGCCTAGCGGGTCTGGCCCCATCTAGCGGCCGGCGGGGAAGCAGGAAGGGCGGGGGCCGAGGCGACTGCTGCGCCGGGCGGTGAGCAGGCCGGGCTGGGACGGAGGGGTGCCCCGCGGTCCCCCTCTTCTCTGGGGCGGAATTCCCTGGGCCCCCTCGACCCGGGACACCCCTCCCTCCACCCCAGCGCCCCGGCACCCACAGTCCCCGGCTATTGCCCCAACACCCCCCGGGGCCCGACCCCGCATCGCCATATTCTCTGCTTCGCACAATCCCCTTGTGGGGCGCCGGGCCCCGGAGCCCCCCACATTGCCCACAATCCCCTGCGTGGGGCGCCGGGCCAATATGGGCCCCTCATTGCCCATAGTCCCCTGCGGCCCGGAGGATCCCAGCAGTTGTCTGTGCTCCAGGGTCCTGATCTTCTGGCCAGCTTGCCTGGCCCCAGCCCCTGCTCGCTCTTACTCAGGCCAAGGGCTCCACTTGTCTCTGGGTCCAACCCGGGCCCCGTGGGGTTTTCCCATGGTCTTGGGTTGCTATTTAGCGCCATTTTCTTGATGCCTCAGTTTCCCCAGCATTACAACTGGGTTAGTTGCAGCTTCCCCTCCTCCCCCGAGAGCATCCTGATTCTTAGTTCAGTAACTCCCATTACATACATACATATCCCTTGCCTGACACCGAGATGTGACCACGACTGGGATGGGGCTGGCATGGGCACTGCTTATACAAAGATAATTGTTCAGTGCTGCCATCTCTGAGGCAAGGAGTGTGTGAAAGGGGAAGCTTGTGGCTTTGGTGTAGGACGCTCTTTTGTTCTAATTGGCTGCTCTCTCCCACCCAGGTGGTCCCTCCCAAGGGTTGCCATGAGTGTGCGGAGTGGGGAGAGCTGGGCCCAGCTTATAACCTCCTTCCGAGCAGGCCCCACAGCTTTCCTTCTGGCCCGTGGGAGTGATGATACCTTCCTGGCTGAACTGCTGCAAGACATGAGCAGCGAGAGGCTCAGTGAGCAGACCAAGGTATGTGGGGCTGGGCAGGATGTTTTGTTCTTGGCTTGAGAAGAGGTGTAGTGGACTAAAGAAAGTTTGGACAGGGACTGCTGGGTTCTGTCTTCTGCTTTGAATGGGAAATGGAGTGGGGTTTAGTGGTTAAAGCTGAGGGGGAATGAAAGCCAGGTTTCTTTGGCTTTGGAAGGTGAGTGGGGTTTAGTAATTAAAGCAGTGGGGCTGGGAGTCAGGACACTTAACTTCTGTCCTTGGCTGAGGTGTGAGAGTCAAGACTCCTGGATTTTGTTAGTGCCGGGGTGGGCGATAATTTTTGATGGGGGGCCACTCCAAGAATGTTGTAAATTGTCAAGAGTCGCACTTTTCTGTGATATTATTGGAGAGGGTTTGTGGTCTGGGACAGAAGTTGGGTAAATGAGGGAGTTCTGGATAGGAGATTGGGGTACAGGCCATGCAGAGTCTGGATGGGAGTTGGGACCAAGGGCAGAGGTGCAGGAGGGGGTGCAGAGGGTATGTGTTGTGACCTGGGAAAGAGAGTTGGGGTGTGGGAGGGAGTGCAAGGTGCATGCTCTGGCTTGGACGTTCTTACCATAGGTAGCTCCTGGCCAGCAGCTCAGCAGGACCTTTGGGCAGGCTCCCTGCTTGCTTGTGCCCCTACACACCGCTCAAATCGCCCAGCAGCTGGGGCCAGTGTGTGCGTCTCTGCGCAGCATGCCCCTTGGGGGGGGGGGGTCTCCACATGCTGCACATGCCCTCAAGCACGGTCCAAGCAGCTTCCATTGGTCAGAGCTACAAGGATTGTGCTGGGGCAGGGGCGGGGCACAGAGACCCTCCTTCCCTAAGAGTGACACACACTGGCCCCAGCAACCGGGCAATTTGAATAGCATGTGGGACTGCAGCAGTCAGGAGCCTGCCCGAGGGTCCTATTGGGCCACAGGACATTTGCAGCCCGGAGTATCGTGGTGGGCCAGATCTGAATGTTTGGCAAGGCTTCGTGTTAATGGCTCTCCCTTTCTATCTTCTGGTTCTGCCTCTGTGCATGGCACCCTGATTGCACTCCTTCCTCTCTCTTGCTCTTGCTCTCTTTTGAAGGTCTCCATGCTGACCCTTCTGCTGGAGTTTCCCACGCTGCTGTGTCCAGACCCCGAGGTGGGTGAGCGGGTGGCCAGCTCTCTCCTGGCTAATTTTGCCCAACTGCCCCACTCACCCAAGCTGTCCTGGCTGCGGCACCACCTGCTGCTGGTGTTGGGGACTGTGCTGATCACCACTGACGCCTTTGGGGAGGGCTCCCAGGCCTCCCGTGACTACCTCTCTTTGCTGCTGCATCTGGCCTCGGACCTCAACGACCAGCGGCAGGGGCCGGGTGACCGTGGGGTGCGGGCAGCTGCCTGCGAGAGTCTGAGGGAGTTGGAGTGCTGCTACCCTGGCCTGTTCTCCCGGCGATTGGACTCACTGCACTCCATGCAGCAGCAGGAGCTCACACCAGTCCACCAGGGCTATACGCTGTTGTACAGCCTGGCCCTGCGCAATGCTGTGCTGCTGCTGGCCTGCCAGGGTGAGGGGACCCTGAGTGACTTGCTGGCTGGCAATGAGGGGCTGGCCTGGGAGGCAGTGGGGAATGCTGGGACAGTCTCTCCGGCCTCCATTGATCGCCTGCTGCTGCTTCCAACCCCCACTGAAACCAAGGAGCTGAAGTCGGTGCTGTCCCAGCTGCTGGATGGCTCCTATCTGCTGACACCACCTGCCCAGAGCCAGCTTCTGTGGCACCTGGCCCAGGTGTTGTGTGTAATCCGCACCCAGTCACCTGCCATCTTCAAGGCGCAGCTGGTGCGGCTGTTTGGCACGGCCCACGTGGCACTGCTGCACGCCAGCCTGCAGCTCAAAGGGCTTTTCACCGACAGCCTCTTCACAGCCGAGGATGAGGCCTTCCTGCTGCGCCGCCTGGTGGGCATGGCCCAGCACCCTGCACTGCCCTCACCCCTCAAACTCTTCTATGTCGACTGCCTGCTGCACTTCCCCGAGAACCGCCCACTGGGCTCTGGCTCTGAGGAGGGGCTGCCTGTCCTGCTCACCCCTCGCCTGGCCTCTTCCCTCTTCCCCTCCCTCTTCAATGACCCAGGCACCATGCTGGCTCGTCTCAACCTGCTGAGCCTGGTGTGCCTGGAAAACCAGGGCCCTGAGGCTGAGCGGGGTGTTGGGTATATCTTTGAACATGTCCTGGCACTGGCAGACACTGTTGCAGGCAAGGGTGGCCACGAGGCCACTGGACTCTTCTTCCGAGCCACCTACCTCTTTGCCCGCTACTTTGGCTCAAGGCCACAGCTCATGGCAGAGCTGACGGACACCCTTGTGGGGTTGTATCGTCAGCACTGCTCCCTGGCCCCCAACCTCATCAACCTGCTGAATGAGACCCAAGTGGTGCTGGATGACCCAGCCTGGCCCACATCCTTGAGCAAGGCCCTGCTGGAGTTGATTGTGGGCATGCCGCTGTTGCCACCTTGGGAGCAAGAGCTAGGCTGGCACCTCAAGCTGTTGGCCCGCGTGGCAAAGGAGAGCGGGGTCCCACAGGGCAGCACGCTGGAGTTCCTACAGCGCCTGGTGCGGTTGGCAGGTGCTGGACGACTGGGAGATTGGCACATTGGCCAAGCTTTGCTGAGCGTTTGCCGCAACCTGCTGCATCACCAGCCCCCACCTGACAGCAGCCAGCTGGCTGAGCTGCTCCAAGTCGTCTCACTGAGCTACCCTGATGTGGATGTGCAGGATCGAGCCCGCTTCTACTACACGCTCCTGTTGTGCCTGTCCGGGGACAAGCTGGGGGCAGTGTTGGCCCCTGGTGGGCGCCTCAAAGCCCGAACTCTCTCCTCGTCCATCACGGCAGACAGTGAGAACTTTGCTGCTGCACTGACTGTGCACCCAGCCCCACAATGCCTGCTACAACTGCAGCGTGAGGCCCCAGCTAAGCCCATCTCGGTGCCAATGCCAGCCTCCCAGCCATGCCCTGCTGATGCTCAGGAGGTGGAGGAGTGCTGCCGATGGCTCCTGGAGCTGCGTTCTCCAGCCCAGATCAGCCTGTCGTACCGTCTGCTCCACACAGGGTCCCCGCCCGAGCGACTCTTCTGCCTCCTGCTGCGTTTTGAGCGCTCTGACAACTTCTATGAGCCAGTGCCAGACATGTGCGTGCCCTGCCTCTCCACCTCCTGCCCATCACCCGTCCTCACGCTCCATCTGCAGCCCCGCTGCCCCTACCCCACCAAGCTGGCAGTGAGCGCCTTGTACACCACACAAGCAGGCCTTACCTACTGCAGCCAGTTAGAACTACTGCAGGTGGCCTTTCCAGACATCTTCCTGCCTCTGGCACTGCCTGCAGCTTGGGACCCTGAGAGCTGCTGCCACCTCTTTGATGCCCTCTGGTCTTCCCTGTGCCCAGATGGGCAGGGTGACTGCGCTGAGAGCCTCTTTTGCTGGCCCTCCACCCAACAGCCCTTGGGGGCCCTGGTGCAGGCTCATTTTGCCAGCTATCTAGTGGCAGAGGAGCCAGGCACCTACAAGATTGCCATAGCCCTGCCACCTCACTATCACATGTTGCTGCAGGCCCAGGAGACCCAGGGGACAGCACGCATCACATTCCGCACAGACTACTGGAAAGTGCTCCCCCACTTAAGTGCCTACCTGCAGGAGGTGGTGGGGTGACAGAGCCTCAAATAGGGATGGAGGGGTATCTGTGAGTGAGGCATCTCCTGGGAAGGGGGTTCTGTGAGTAGGAGTAAAGGGGACATATCTCCAGCCATTTGGGGGGATTTGAGAGTCAGCAGTGGGGACACATCTTCAGTCCCCTGAGAAGGCAAGCTGTGACTAGGACTGTAGCCTGACTTTCCTAAGTTCTGTACAAATATCTTTTACCAGTAAAACTTGTAGTGAAATGAACAAACTAGTGCATATGGGGAAACGTGCACTGGGGTGAGGGTAGGGGTGGTAAATTAGGTGCGATGGAGGGAGAAGCAATGGAGTGGCTCTGGAGAAGTGAGAGAGTGAAAGGACAATTGGTGCATTTGCACCCTCACATGTGGTGGACACCATGCCTGCCGTGTGGGCTCAGTGCTGAAGGACGGGTTTGGTTTCTGAAGCCTCATTGGTGCTTGTCTACTTTGCTGGTACAGGGGCTGGTGAGCAAGGGCTGGTGCTAGGTGTCTTGTCACCGAGCTGGAAAAGGTTTTCAGTGCCCCCTGCCAGGACTGTGGTCCTCCCAAATGAGGTAAGGTAGCGGTGTCCCTGAACCTGCAACGTTGGTGCCCACGTTGGCCACCTTGCTTGCCTGCCTGTGGAAGCCTGGTTCTGCAGAGTTGTGCAGGGAAGGGGACCCTGCTTGGAACCCAACAACCGAGAAGGCAATGAGTCAAATCCAGGACAACTGCTGAGCAGGGTCTGAGTGGGAGCCCCCCCCCCACGCCACGCCACGCCACAGGCGATAACAGCGGCCATCTGGCAGCTTCCCCGGCAGACTCCCTCCAGCTGGCAACCCAGCGTCCATCCCTGCCCCCGAGCCAGCCAGGCCCCTCTCCCGGGAGCAGGGGGAGAGAGGCTGCTTCTCCATCTTCCAGCATGGACATGCCACAGGGGTTTCACTCTGGCCGGAAACTATCGCGTCCATCCTGCACTGGGACTGGGCCGCCACGCCCCTCATGCGCCGGAGGCGAGGCTTTCCCGGGTCCTACACGAGCGTGAGGACTACAACCCCCAGCATGCCCCGGAATCGGAGTGGGTTGTCACGGGGTGCGAAGTGTTCCCGCGCGGTGAGCGGCAGGAGTGGGCACGCCCAGCGCGCACGCGTGGAGCATATCGGCCCCGCAGGCACCTCCCCCTTCATTACTGTTCCCTCTCCGAGAGGGTCCTGCCCACGTGGGGATACGGGTTCCTGACAAGGCACCCCCCCGGCCCCTCCCCCCAGCGCCGCGCCTGCCTCCGGAGCGAGATGTCTGAGAGCAGCGGCCCCATCCGGCTGGACCTGAGCTCCCTCCGGGCGGCGCCCCGGGATGTCCTGCACCTGCTGCCCTGCGCGGTGGAGCACAGCGGCCGCGCCCCGGTGGACAGATACTTCACGCCGGCCATCCGCCAGCGCTCGCAGGGTTGGTGAATCCCGCCGTACTGGCGGCGCTGCAGGGAGCGGGACGATGGCAGGGGTCCGTGCGGGGGACGCCCCCTACAGTCAGTGCAGTGCGAGGAGGCGCTGGCTGCTGCAGCGAGGGGGTGGGGGCGCTGGTGGGGCGGGACCCAGTGCGGCACTAGGGTTGCTGTGCCCATTTCTCAGTAGCTCATCCCCTGGACAAGGGGTTCTGTCTCACAAGCTCAGTGTCGATCTGTCTTCCTGCAGAGAAATCTGTATCCTTCCGGGGCAGGAGCCTCAAGGGGCAGGATGTGCCGGTGCCCCAAGGTTATGTGGGGCTGGTGCTGAAGGAGGATCAAAGGCCCTGCACAGAGGAGGTGAGCCCGATGGAGATGGATTGAGGTGGATAGGGGAGAAGCAGCATGGAGACACTAGCACTGGCCTGGGGGAAGGTTGTGGGGCTGCAATCCAGCAGGCGGGGCTCTTTTGGAGAAACATGCCCCTTGTGGGGCTGGGTGGAAGAGGTGTGGTTACTGCTTTGGGGCAAGGCCATCAGATTTGGGAACAGCTAAAGGGGGCATGAGTGAAAGCTGGCTGGGAGACCCCCAGCCCCACTGGCTGTGTCCCTGACTCCCAGCCCTCTGTGCAGGAGCGCACTGTGCGGCTGGAATCAACCTTTTCAGCGCTGACGGTGTGGAACCTGGAACAGCCACCAAGTGCGGATGATGGGCTGTTCCTGGCCCTGAGCTGGCCAGGGATTGCAGAGGCTGTAAGTACTGGTGTGCTGCATACCCCCACCCCATCTCAGAATGGGGGGAGGGGAGCGTTGGTGTGTAGAACCTGATGCTACAGCAGCAGCAGCAACTGCAAGGAGGCCATGATTCCCCTCATCCCACAAAGACACTACACACCTACTATAGGCAAATTGGGGGCAGAGGACTGCTGACACCAGGTGCTCCTAGGACAAGAAGGCTGTGGCTTCATGCCACCCCACCTCCCTGAGTTGTGCTGGGGGGGTGCAGCCTGGCAGAAAGGGGCAGGGCTGGGGGCTTGTCTCCCACAGCCCTGCCCTGCCCAGCCCACCTTGTCTCCACCAGCCCTGCCCACCACCCATTAAGGATGTTCAATATTAATTTAATAATCATGTAACTACATCAAATCTTAGTGGTTACACAATTACTCAATAGTCTCTGAGGGCAGGGCCAGCTGCCAGTGCACTCTGGGCCCCAGTCCTGGGGAGTCCCCCTGCCACCCTGCATGGGGTCCCAAGCTCCCCATGGACAGAGGCTGTGCTGGAATCCCACTGAGCAGCCTCTCTGCTGCAAGCCTCCAGTTGCAGATGACAACTCCTTCAGCTGTCTTGGCCTGCCAGGATGTTCTTGATGGGGGCAAATGGAAGCCCTCATGGGGGAAGGTGACTGCGGTACAAGGCTGGGGCTCAGTACTCCTGCTGTTGGGCAAGATTTTACCCCATATGTGCCTGTTTCCCCTCCCATTCTGATTTAGACAGAGCTTCCTAAAGCAGTGAGTCTCATTGGGTGCCTCTGCTATACTTGGCCCAACAAGAGTCCCTGTCTCAGTTTTGGGGAGCTGCTCCTGCACTGCTGTCCCTGGAGGGCTGGAATCCCATGAGTGTGAAGGGCAGTGATTTTTGACGTGTCACCTCTCATTGCAGATCCACGCACCAGTGCTGAAGAAGGAACAGTGAGCAGCAATCTTAAGCCTGCTAGTCACTGGCTAATTCTGGGGTCTGCATTCTTGGGCATTTTGGCCCCACCAACCTGCACAGTAGCGCCATGCTGAGAATACATGGATCTCACAGAGATACCTGTTTGGTCCAAGTTATTCTAGAGTTTGCTGAAGCAACACCTGGAAACTAGGGTGGGACAGCATCACCCCTGGTCACTGGCTGTCTGTCTGCCCTCTGTGCTGGAGACTGGGGAGAGGAGACCTGAGTGCTATGGACCTAATCTTGCAAATACTGATTGCTCAGGTCCTTGGGACAGGCAGCTTCATCATCCTGCAGAGGGGGAAACTGAGGCACAGCCCTGGCCCAAGTCACAGCAGCTGAGTGGAATACAACTAAGGCATTGTTACTCACAGCCCTTCTTTAAAACTACTTGGTCATGAGTCTCCATGGTCTCTTGCTACCCCAAAAGGACTCTAATGCAAGCGTAGCCAGGACTTCTGCATTCTCTTCCCTTTCCTCCCTACTGTGCCTTTGTTTCCCCCTCTGAATGGAACAGAGTTAGCACATTCAAGAGCCCCTAGCAGCACTGACCAGTTAGGGCAGCAGGGTTGTGCTTGCAGCCTCTTCTTCCCCTAATTTAAGGCCTGGATTTGGCTCCCACGGCTCTAAGCCACCACCCCAGCATTGGGGAGCATGTGCTGGCACTCCAGCCCCCCCTTCTTCCCCCACCACAGGGCTGGAGCACACAAAATCTACCAGCCTGGGCCCCTTGAGGCTCTGGGGTGTGAAGAGAATGTGGGAACTGTCTTTCTGCTTCCCAGCAGGGGCCACATCAATTGAGGGTTTGTGGTGGTTGTTTTTTTGGCTTCTCACTTGTGTACAGCTCTCAACTAATTTTTCTGGGGGTCAGCAGCCCTGATCCAAAAGGTTCCCCACTCCTGCCCTAATCCCTTCTCCAGCCTGCCACAGGCTTTGCACCCATGCCTGTGCCCTCACAGAACCATTCTTGCCCCATGTTCAGCACTGCTACTTTGACAGGGGGAACATGCTGTTTGCAAGGCTTGACTCCATAGTATGGCTGGGGACAGCAGTTGGGCCCATTGCCAGGTCAGTAAGGGTAGGGTAGAGCTAGTCAGGTGCAGGGGCTTGGCCACCATAGCAGGATGGGGATCAGCACCAGGAGTCTCTCAGACAATGGAGGGGAGGAGGAGCAGAGATTAGTGCGCAGCTCTAAGTGTCTTGGCCTGAACAGTCAGACCACCGCTCAGAGCTGCAGCCTCTGGTGCTAGGGGACACCTGCTGTTTCAGGGCACAGGGAGCATAGTAACTTTGAGGCCCTAACCTTGTGTTTGGCCACAGCCCCAGCCTGCACCCTTCCAGGACTGGGACATATTCATTGTGCAGGGAATGCTGCAGCTGGAGTGGCTGCCCCTGAGTCTCTGGAGTAGAGCACAGTTGTTGCTCAGGGTATTGCACAGCCCTGGGGAGGGTAATGCAGCCAGAACATTCCTCGTCCTCCTCCAGCTGATTAAAAAGGGCCAGGATCAATCATTTTAGGTCCTGGGTCTTTTATAAAAAAACTCAAGAGTGAGTGAGTGACAGAGAAACGCAGAAGCCGGCCAGCTGCCGGGGTCCCAGGGCCACCCAGTCTCAGCCTTTGGGCTCCTTAGTCACAGCCCACATTGCACAGGGTGGCCTGGCACGATGCAAGTCTTAGATACAAATGGGGCCTTCGCTCTGGCGCTGAGACAAGGAGAGCAGCATAGGGGCCTCTGCCCCCTTCAATGGAGTCCAGCCATGGGTGGAGAACGATGCAGCTCCAGCCTGACCCCATGGCTGAGCACATGATCACCCTTGCAGATGCTGTTGTCTGGTCTGTCCCAGCTCTGGGGTAAGCTCCCAGGAGCTGCATGTTAGCTGGATGATTAGGAGGCCCCATGTCAGGGCCACCACGGAGTTGATGGCAGACAAGCCCTGCTTCTCACCACTTCCCCCTTTTGCTCCAGTCTTTGGGGGTGAAGTGCAGACACTTGGAGTCAATGCGCAGGATCCGCTTCAGCATTGCCCTCTCATGCCCATCCACTATGTCTTCTGAGAGTGTCAGGATGTACTGGCCCTTGAAGGGGGACAGCAAGGGACCAAGGTTAATGATGGGGTTCAAGAGAAATGTCTCATCAGGATCCCTTAGAAAACCAGCCAAGGGGCCCAAGTCAACCTAGCTGCTCATCTCCACTGGTGTGTTTCAGTCCCATGTGGCAGCCCCAGCAGCAGCCCCGTCTCTTTTCAGTTTCCTTGCACTGATCTCTGCCAGTGGGGATAGAACCAACCCCATCTACTCCAAGTCATTAGACCTCACTCCCCTACCAGAGCCAGGAAGAGACGTCATGAGTCTTGCCTCCCAACCCCCTTTAGTTCAGCTACCCTAATGCCTTGGTGTCTCTCCAGGCTAGTGGCACGTACAAAGAAGCCACTTGCCCCTCCTGGGTACCTCTAGGAATCTCTCTCTGCCTGCCATCAGTGTTTCCCCCCAGGGTGGGTACCTTGTAGTAATTGATGAGATTCAAATACTGCAGTGTGGAGATCACATCCTCCTTCTTGATGCTGGTGATCTCGCTGATTTCACTGAAAGACAATAGGTGGTGAAAGGGTGGAAGGCAGTGGCCAGGGGTCACCAGCAGGGAGATGGGGGAGGCATGTCAAGAGGGTATGCTATGGGAGCCAACCGTATCTTCCCCATATGCCCTGAGGCTATTTTGTCTGCAGCCAGCCCTGGAATCGCAGTAGAGGGAATGATTTTGAAGCAGCCCTCCATGAAGTGTTAGCTGACTCCCAATGACAGGTGGCTCTGTGTTCCCTCTCACTGATTGGTGCAGAATCTTGGCTCTAGGGTTGGGCGTGGAGTTTGGGATTGTGGGCAAGGCACTCACTTGATAGTGATCTGTGGGCGCTCTCCGTTCTCAGACTTCAGGTTCATTAGGATCTCCAGGATGGTCTGGGACCAGTAACTGCGGTAGGAGAGAAGCCCCAGGTCTGAGAGTGGCTTTTCTGGTGTCCCTGTTTTCCCTTCCACCTTGGAGAGCTCATAGCCTGCCAGGGGAAATGCGACAGGGTGAGGGTGCTGCAGATCAGGGGAAGGAGACACTGATGAAGTGGTTGCCACTTACTGAATTCGATGAGCAGCTTGCCATAGCCTCGCCTCTGGTATGGAGGCAGGGTTAGGATGCAGGCCACATTGTAGTCCTCTGTGGACTCCTTCTCCTACAGCAAACAGCAAAAGCTTCACACCCCAGTAAGTGGCTAGAGTGCTGTGATGTTGTGTGTCCCAGTGATTCCTGTGCCATCAAGACTGCCCCCTTTCTGCCAGATCCCCATGCCCTCTATCAACTCCCCACCCCCCACCTCTCAGCCCCCATAAACTCCTGCTCATATCCCTTTCCATAAATCCTGGTCTTAGCCACTGATTCCTGCTCTCTCAGCCTGCCACGGATCCAGTGCCACTCAGCCAAAATGGCCCCCTACACAGACTGCAGCCATGACCACATCGGTCTTGGGCCTTCAATGCCCATCAGTGGCCAAAGTCACACGAGTTCCCCTCCTCCATTCCAGTCACAAATACCTGTCCTTAGTCACAGTGGCCCCTGCTCCTTCATGCCAGAGAGCCACAGCACCCTGCAGACAGAGCCGGGTCAATGGGGGAGCAGCTGCAATACGGCACAGTGATTCCCTGACCGAAGGCTAAGTCTCTCAGATGCCCCCTAGCTTCTATGACCCTTTAGGAATCTCCCATGGGGAGCCTGAGGATTCCCATCATACCACTGTTCTGGTTGGCTGGAGAGCCAGGGCCATGAAAGGAGTAGGGAAGAAGGGTCCCATTCAGGAAGCAGGGAGCACAGTACAGCGCCCCTCACCTTGGAGAAATAGCCCACGATGTGGAAGCCCTTGCAGTCATACTCTGTCATGACATAGAAGAGGAAGGGGTCAGTGTCATAGTACAGGGTCTTGTGGTCCAGGAAGCACTTCGCCAGCAGGCAGAGGTTCTGTGAGTAGCTCTGTAGGGACAGCATAAACCAGAAATGTTAACATCCCCACCCTGCTGCTGGGGTGTGTGGGTCAGCTAGCTTCAAGGCTACTGTGAAGAGGGTAGGCCCCGGTTCTAGACACCAGCTCCCCGGCCCAATGGGGAGCCACACTCAGACTATCTCCAGCTCCTTTCATCAGAGTGGCTCAGGCCACCATACTAAAGCCCCACATGGCCCAGGACATTGTCATAAAGCAAACTAGAAAAATGTGGTCTCAGTCAATGTTCCCCCAAATCTTTTCCATCCATGTGCAGAATAAATTTGCATGTGCAAATGATGTCTCAATCGGTTTCTCTCAATCTTTAGGATACCAGCGATTGGCTTGCTGCCTGTCGCACCTTTGGCAGGAAGATCTTATAGACTGGCACTGGCATAGATGAAATTAGATCTCAGACTGGCACTGGCACAGATGAAATTACTATATGGTGGATGTACAGCTGGTTAAAAGGTTGCACTTAAGGTCAGTGTCCAACTGGGAGGGCAGAGCTAGTGAGATGCCATAGGGACCAGTCCTGGGGCCTGTACTATTTAATACTGTCAATATCTAAAGTCATTAATGGGGTGGAGTCTATGCTTAGAGCATTAAGGGATAGTCGAGGTTTATTGGTCCTGCCTTAGATTATCTCGAGGCCCCTTCCAGCCCTACATTTCTATGACTCTACAGAGGAGGGCATGTAAGAAAGAATTACTTATGGGGAAACTGAGGCATGGAAATGGGAAGAAACTTCTTCAAGGCTACTTAGAGAGGCAGTAGCTAGGCTGGAATGAACCCAGGAGTCCTGACTCTCAGCACCGTTCTGTTTTGGCCAGTAGAACCCCCTCCCACAGCCAGCTTTCCCTGTCACAGACCCAAACTCCCACACCCTGGAATCAGGAAGTCTCCTAAGGGTGAAAAGTGGAACAGAGAGCCCCGCTACAGCCATGCCTGAGTGAGGGGACTTCTGTCCCAGAACTGCCTCTTGCCTTGTTCTTGCGCCCGTCGATCTCAAAGAAGGAGATAGTGCCTTTGCGGTAGATTTCGTTCCCAGGTGGGTGCCGTAGGTCACACTTGGTCTATGGGAGAGAGAATCACATGTGGCCAGTCAGACCCCGCAGCTTGCACATGGGGCACCTCGAATGCAGAATGGAACCAAAGAGCTGCCTGCAGCTGGCAGAGCACAGGGGAGCGGCTAACAGGCTAGTGGAACCAAAGCATAATTCCCCTAAAGACAATCTGCCACCTCCTCTCCTTCCAGATGGCAGAACTAGGATTAGAGAATTACACAGTTACAGGGACTCCTCACCCAGCACTGAGATGCAGCATGCTCTGGGGTGGGGTGAGGGGGCTATTTATACAGGCAGCCCTTGCTTGGTGCCAAGTGGGCCCAGGATCAGCACTGACCTGGAAAGAAAAGCAGCCCCTACTGAGTCACCCACCCTGCTCCCTGCAGGCCAGAACCCCTAGTGCCACACTAGGGAACACACTTGGGGCAGAAGCCCTGGGATCACGGAGTGAGGGCTGTGCCTGCTGGGGGCCATGCAGGGGCACGGGGAGGGTGATACGTACTAGGTGCCTCTGCAGGCACTTGAGGCTCTTGACATATTTGAGGCAGAACTCGCAGAGATACAGCACAGGCAGGGTGGTGAGCTCCTGCGGGTAGGGTGAGAAGTACCAGGGCTTCAGGCGGTGCCGGCCCAGCTCGATGCACTCTATGTTCTTCATGCGCGTGATGATGTCGTCATGGCTGCGGTCCGACACCAAGCTGCCAGTCATGCGCGGGGCTGAAGGGATACCGTCTGAGCTGTCCTGGGAGTCCTGTAGAAAGTGCAGGGGCAGGAGCTATTGGACCCTCCACTTTGGACTCTTCCAGACTCCTTGTGCCCTTCCCAAGGGCCTCCAGAACCCAACGACTGGCTGCTAGTGGTGGTGGTGCATATGTGATGGCACAGAAACAAATCCTGGCAGCTCTCCCAGATCCTACAGGTCTTCCAGGTTTGAGAGATGGAACCTAGGGAGCCCCCAACCCCACTTCTCCCCACCCAGCATCCCCAACTTTGATAGTGTTGTAGCCCTGGCCTTGGGCAGACCACAACTTCACCTGTCACCCACCCCTCACGTCCTGGGCTCAGGACTGCTTCTTGAGTCAGCAGTATCTTCCTCAGAGAAAGGGGGAGAGAATGTCTAGCCCCATAGCTACTCCAGGCTTCATCCTGGAGGGACCTTATTGATCATCCATGGAGCAGATCCCTGCCCGATACCCTGGGAACCTGAGAGTTCCTCCATCACTGGCTATGCCTGGTGGCTTCCCTGGCAGAGGGCAGTTAACGCTCCATCCTTTCATTCAAGTCAGGCAGATTTTACCTCATCTGTGCCCAGGCAGTTGGATTTCCTCTTCCTGCCAGGCTGGGCAGCCACAGCTCTCCTGGCTGAGCCGTTCTGGAAGAGAAGGTGAATGGGATGTTAGATGCAGCCAGGGGGTGGGGGGGAGCCATCTCCTCGCAGCGGAACAGGAAGGGACTCTGTCTCTCATCCTCACCTCACCAGTACCATGGAGCTAGGAAGTAGTAGGTTTTAAGACTGATTTTTGAAGATACAGATGTTTGTGTCCATGCAGGGCTCTAGTTTTAAGGCAATCCAATACCAAATGGCTGACCACAGCCCTACGTGGAGCCAAGGAGTTGGAAACAGGGACATATCAGAACATCCCTCAGCTGGCCCAGGAAAGAATCATCTCCACTGGGGAAGTGCGGGTGAACCCTTTCTGCTCCAGAGTCCCTTGCTGGAACTGCAAGCAGTGGCACAGAGTTAATGCCCCTTGGAGATGCCCAGAACAGCTCTCCTCTCTTGGAGGTATTGACTCTTTCTCTGCAGACTCAGACATTGCTGCATTGGTTGCATTTGGGTTACGTTTTGTCCCCAAGCATGAGGGAGAGAAGCTGTGATTTTGCGCAGATCACATGACTCCAGGAACTCGGGCCCAAGTCTCAGGGTAATAGTGCCTGGGTCTACACCTAGCCCTGGGCAGGAAGGAGAAATAAGCTCTCCCCTGGGATGGAAATACCCCTTCCCCCAGCATAGCCCATCCCCTGCTATTACCTGGGGGAACACAGAGGCTTGAGTGGTCTCTGTCGAAGCAGGGACGGGGGTTGCAGGGGAAACCACCTCCACCTTCCGTTTCTGAAACAAACCCAAAAACTGGTTCATCCACATGGGACATTGCAAAACTTCCCTGCCCTCCCCCCGCACAGATTCCCCAGCAGGGGCAGCGGATCATCTACAGATGAACATGCAACACAAAGTCTTGTAATCTCAAAAGAACTTTCTAAGCCATTTGTATGGGAATCCCTCATCCAGCACTGCCCTGCTAGTGTCTTTGGGATGGGGCGCAGCACTGTTTATACAGAGATCCCTCGCCCGGTGCCGAGAGAGGTCCCTCTCAGGTGAGGCACGAGGGCTGTTGAACTGCCTGGCAATGGAGAGCAGAGGGTGAGAATCTCTTTTCCAGCTAAAACTGCAAGAAGTTCTAGGGAGGCAGGACGTAGCTGTCCAAGCTCTGATTTGGCCAGCACTCCGCCATTCATACCAAAACGCGGGGGGAAGGGCCAAGAGATCTTTAATGATCAAGAAAGGTCACAACCTTCGATATCGGCATCATTTGACTGAGGTCTCATACTGAGTGTGAGGGAAGAGTGCCCCCTATTGAGCCCCTGCTCCAGGCTGTACAGTACTCTCTAAAATCATGATATGACAGGACAGCAAGCTCTGTATATGGGAAGAATGTCACTTACTGAATCCCCAGCACCATGCCTTGGGGGCTTCCCATGCAAGTCCAGACCTAGCCCGACCCCGGCCAGCTTGTGCGACCTGGCGCGATCCCAGCTTGTGGCCACGCCCAGACCATGCTGAGGATACGAGATGGGGGAGGTATCCCCGGCGCCGGTGCGTACCGTTGTCCGATGGTTCGGCTGGACGCAGGAGCTGGAGGAGAGGGGTTGGTCAGGCTCCCCGGGAACAGCCTCCCTCTCCTTAGGCAGGTTAAAGCGGAGCGTTATCTGCACTGGGATGGGCAGGGTTTTACCGCTGGCTGGAGCTGAGGCAGGTTGTAGAGATAGATCCAAGGTCTTCCTCTGAGTAGGGATGAAGATGGGGGGCAGGGGTTACCAACACACCCGGCTGGGGAGAAGATGCATTGCTGGTCAGATATGGGGGGGCATGGCACCACTGTCCCAGCTTGTCACAGGCCAGACAGTGAGAAGAGTACATGGGCCCAGATAGATGTGATGAGTTGGTGCTAGGGCCAATGCTAGGCCCTGCTCTTAGGATAAGG